ATATTTAAACAACAGAACTAGTTTTTTTGTCTTATTAATTTTACTATTGCATTCATTTTAGGTTTGATGGAAACTTTAACACTAATGTGTCTAGAACAATCAGCTGCGATAGACTGTCTACCACTGTGAATAGCCGAGCGTTCAATCCTGGCCGTGACTTAAACTCTGGTAAGTAATGCATACTTGAGCATGTAACTTCTGCCTTTTGCTGCAGAAAACCAGCATCCAGAGCCACAGCAACCGCGTTTTATCTGACGCTGCCACACTGTTTTTAATTTCCAGAACTGAATGAGAGGAATATGTTTTCCTGCAATGATGTTGATATTCCAATATACCATGTAATTGATAGGACTTTATATCAAACTTAATTTGTTTTCTGTGTAGCCATCTGCCCTGGCATCAGTAATGTCAGTTCTTCATAGTGACATTACAAAGGGGCCTCTTTGATCTTTTGAGTTCATCTAACGTAGAGGTTCTGCAGCAAACTGGCATTAACTCTGATTTATGAAGATGCCCTGAAATACTTCGTTTCTTTGATGTGCTGTGGGGTTTCTATACTGGGGATTGACCCATTTGCTTGGCATGTTATAAAGCTGGAGGTGTGGTTGCTGTCTAAGACTGCAAGACTTTTCACAAGAGATTGAGCCTTCGGTTAACACTACTTTCTTAGCATTGTTTTCAAATGGAAATAAATTAGCTTTACTGTTTAGAAAAGGGGGTGGGGTGGTGAGAAACCTTTTGTCATCCAGCGGTATATGTGGTGGGGGTTTTTTTATAGCATGGGAGGGTTCTGATTTGACTTAAGCTCCTTTGCCCCCCCCCAAAAAATGAAAGGTACAGATTAAGGGGCTGTAGAGGTCAAAACGAAGGTGTGTGTGTGGGTTTATAGGAGATGTGCAGTCAACTACAGATATAGGAGTGTGTGTGTTTGTATTATATCAGTAATGTAGGGGGTGCAGGTGTGTGATTTTTTTTACTGGAGAGGACTTTGTCCTACATTTTAAATGGAAAAGGACCATCTCAGGAGAAGCTGCTGTGATTGTAACAAGCAGGGATCACTCTTCAGTTAGCAATCGCACTTTCTTTTCCTTGTTACAGTGGTGCCCCGCAAGACGAATGCCTCGCAAGACGAAAAACTCGCTAGACGAAAGGGTTTTGCGTTTTTTGAGTCGTTCCGCAAGACGAATTTCCCTATGGGCTTGCTTCGCAAGACGAAACGTCTTGCGAGTTCTTGCGAGTTTGTTTCCTTTTCTTAAAGCCGCTAAGCCGCTAATAGCCGCTAAGCCGTTAATAGCTGCTAAGCCACTAATAGCCGCTAAGCCGCTAATAGCCATGCTTCGCAAGACGAAAAAACCGCAAGACGAAGAGACTCGCGGAACGGATTAATTTCGTCTTCCGAGGCACCACTGTACTTCTTCTCCACCCATTTCCTCTCATTGCCAGTCCTACAACTGATGATTTTGTAATGCTTGGAGTAAAGACAGGTGCAATTTGGTCCAACATCCAGCAATGCAGGAATCTCAACTAGATCATACATGATAAATGGCCATCCAACTTCTGCTTAAAAACCTCCAAGGAGGGAGACTTCACTACCTTTCCAAGGGGGTCTGTTCCACTCTAGAACAGCTCTTACTGTCAGAAAGTTTTTCCTGGTGTGTGAAATGGTATATGCTGGCATGGCTTCACAGCTGAAGGAACATACTCGTGAAACTTGTATTTTTATATAGTGTATCTTGATTTCAGCAAGGCTTTTGACAAAGTTCCCCATTATATTCTTGTGGAGAAGCTGGTAAAATGTGGGTGGCCTTGTGGGGGTTTCTGGCCTTGTGGGGGTTTGGATTAGATGACTTGGGGGTCTCTTCCAACTCTACATTTCTATGATACCAGCATATCAAATACTAATTCAAGCCATTGGCCTTCCCTCGCTCACTTGCTGCTGTTACATCTTTCTCTAGCTGGGGCGGGGGGCGGGGATAGCAGTGCACTGAAGCAGGCTGCCTGAGATGGAACTAGCACAGCCTTCTTTTGTGTTTATTTCATTAACTTTTTCCAGGTAGAGGAGGTGGCACCAATGGTAGTGAGAGAAAGGGCAGAGTGCAGGGAGATGCATGACCGATTGCTTGAACAAGTATTCAGCTTGCTGGTATGAACACCTGTTCATTCCACTGAGAAGCCAGGAAAGATCTGCCATGAATTCTGATTTTAATTCACATCTGTCTTCACCTTTAGTTCATTTGCTGCTGTGTGGATATAGAGATTCTTTATGGACCCACTGCCATGTAGCTGATCCTTCCCGGGTCAACTCTTCACTGTTGGTGGCTGTGTATTCTCAAAGGAGAACTATCACTGCTGTCACTGCCATAATAGGCCGCTATATCTGGTTCTCCTCTTGTTGGTTTAATATGGTAGAATGCAGGAAGAGATATCCTAGGAGAGGTTATGCACCTTTTGAAATGCCTTTCAGCTGTCCCAGGAATCATCCATGCTACATACACTACAGCTTTGAGCTGAAAAGGTGGTTGAATGTTAACGAACATAAAAGGCAAATGTGGCTGGTTTCCTTCCCTTCCCTTTTCCTTTTCTGGCTGTCTGATTTATCCCTTGTGGGCCATGTGGGTTTCCATTTACAATGAATAATTATTATTTTGAGTTTAAGTCAGGAATCATATAAGTGAAGATATGGTATTAAAGAAAACACCCAGCCAGATTTTAAATTTAGGCCCCTAATGTTCTTTAGGGAATTGCAGCATAGCTATAAAAGAATGCTGGTGCTGATGATTCTCTTCCCTATATATGCCAGGGAGTGTCATGTAGGAGCTCACTTTTTTGTGAGTTTAGACTATAATCCTTTGCACTTCCTGGAAAAACAAACAAACAGTAAAGCTTCCAGCAAATTAAGGCGAAACATTACAAAACTACTCATCATTACTGATCTGTTTTGTTAAGGGATCGGGTCTGTAGAAACTCTTGAATAATGTGGTTTCTATCCAAATAGACAGATTATTCTTGATACCTAAACAGGTTTGCAGTTGATTGTAGCCTCAAAAGCCTTTCTTCCTTATCTTCATCTTCAGAAAGTTCTGATAGTTCTTTCCCTCCAGCTTGTTAGTTCATTCTGCCTTCCCTAGGGAGAGCTGCCAATTTTGCCATAACCCTGTGCTTATTTTTCTATGACCACAGTGTACAATCTTCTGTGAGATAAGCAGGGACTACTTCAGCTGGAAAAATAAGCTTTCTAACCCCCCCTCCCACTTTCAGGTATCCTTTTATTTTTCATCCAGTAAAGCTGCAAGAATTCCCTGCTGAGATTTCTTAGTTTCTTCCTTGCTACAATCCCTAAGAGGTGTACTTTGGGGGTCTCCTTTTATCTTCATTCCAAGCCTTTTACTCTTTAAAATGCTTTCCTTTTATGCCATGTTCCTATGTGAGGCTTGCTAAGATGGCATCCATTGTATATATCCTAGCATTTAAACTACCGTATTTTTCGCTCTATTGGACGCACCGGACCACAGGACGCACCTAGTTTTTAGAGGGGGAAATCAAGGGAAAAAATATTATTCCACCCCCCCAGCCCCAAAGAGCAAGGGACAGGCTGCATGCAGCCTGTCCGCTTCTCCCAGAGCTTCTCGGGGCTTCCCCCGCAGCCCCAAAGAGCAAAGAAACCAAGACAGCGAGCAGGATCCATAGCCGCTCAACCTCTCCAGCCAGGAGCTAAACCTCTCCAGCGCAGCTAAAGAAGAAGACAAGGCAGCGAGCGCGATCCATCCCGCTCACTGCCTTGGCTTCCTCTTTAGCCTTAAGCAGCATCTTTAGCCTTGCACAACGGGATGGATCGTGCCCGCTGTCCACCGGGGCTGGACTAGATGACTCCTGGGGTTCCTTCCAACCCTGCAATTCTATGACCTTGGAAGGTGTTGGGGGTCTCCACCACAAGAGGCTTTTAAGCAGCAGTTGGGGGACCATCTGCCTGGCATTCTTTAGCTGTAATTCCTACATTGTGAGGTGGCTGGGCTAGATGACCCTCGGGTGACCCTCCCAACTCTATACAGTCCTACACATCTGCGGCAGGAGATCCACAGCCACTTCACACAATGCCCTCTCCCAATTTTCATTGGAGAGACATGTGGCTTCAGTGTCTAGGTAGATACCCCCCTACCTGCCACTCTCCCCCCACCCCACTTAAGCCGAGGGAATTCCTTCCCAGAGAAGCTCCCAGGTGAGGCAAGGGTTAAGATCTACCTCTGGTAAATGGCTTTCCATTTTCTCTTCTTCTTCTGTGCTATTTCCTTCTTTTGTGTTTTGTTTAATCTGTTTTTATTGTATACTAAAATAAAAGCTGCAAAGTTTCCTTTTTTATAATATTCCCCCCCCCAAACTAAAATGTTAATCTAGATAAAAACACTGATCCAGAGGAAAAGAAGGGGGTGGAGAAAGGACGAAAAAAGAAAAAGAGGTAGAGATAGAGAGATTTTTTAAAAGTTGGCTTCTTTAGCCTTGCGCAGCCTCCCGCGACTGGAGAGGCGCGCAAAGCTAAAGAGGAAGCCTGGGCAGCGAGCGGGATGGATCGCGCTCACTACCCGGGTTTCCTCTTTAGCCTTGCTCAGCCTCCCACGGCTGGAGAGGTGCACAAAGCTAAAGAGGAAGCCCGGGCAGCTGGAGAGATTGTGCAAGGCTAAGGAGGAAGCCCGGGCAGCGAGGGGATGGATCGCGCTCACTACCCGGGTTTCCTCTTTAGCCTTGCTCAGCCTCCCACGGCTGGAGAGGTGCACAAAGCTAAAGAGGAAGCCCGGGCAGCTGGAGAGATTGTGCACGGCTACGGAGGAAGCCCGGGCAGCGAGGGGAGGGAGCGCGCTCGCTGCCTGGGCTTCCTCTTTAGCCTTGCTCAGCCTCCCGCGGCTGGAGAGGCGCGCAGGGCTAAGGAGGAAGCCCGGGCAGTGAGGGGATGGATCGTGCTCGCTGCCCGGGCTTCGTCTTTAGCCTTGCTCAGCCTCCCATGGCTGGAGAGGCGCGCAAAGCTAAAGAGGAAGCCCGGGCAGCGAGCGGGATGGATCGCGCTCGCTGCCCGGGCTTCCTCTTTAGCCTTGCGCAGCCTCCCGCGGCTGGAGAGGTGCGCAGGGCTAAGGAGGAAGCCCGGGCAGCGAGGGGGTGGATCGCGCTCGCTGCCAGGGCTTCCTCTTTAGCCGAGCTCAGCCTCCCATGGCTGGAGAGGCGCGCAAGCTAAAGAGGAAGCCCGGGCAGCGAGCGGGATGGATCGCGCTCGCTGCCTGGGCTTCCTCTTAGCCTTGCTCAGCCTCCCGCGGCTGGAGAGGTGCGCAGGGCTAAGGAGGAAGCCCGGGCAGTGAGGGATGGATCGTGCTCGCTGCCCGGGCTTCGTCTTTAGCCTTGCTCAGCCTCCCATGGCTGGAGAGGCGCGCAAAGCTAAAGAGGAAGCCCGGGCAGCGAGCGGGATGGATCGCGCTCGCTGCCTGGGCTTCCTCTTTAGCCTTGCTCAGCCTCCCGTGGCTGGAGAGGAGCGCAGGGCTAAGGAGGAGGCCCGGGCAGCGAGGGGATGGATCGCGCTCGCTACCCGGGTTTCCTCTTTAGCCTTGCTCAGCCTCCCGCGGCTGGAAAGGCGCGCAAGGCTAAGGAGGAAGCCCGGGCAGCGAGGGGATGGATCGCGCTCACTGCCCGGGCTTCCTCTTTAGCCTTGCTCAGCCTCCCACGGGTGGAGAGGTGCGCACGCTAAAGAGGAAGCCCGGGCAGCTGGAGAGATTGCGCAAGGCTAAGGAGGAAGCCCGGGCAGCGAGGGGCTGGATCGCGCTAGCTGCCCGGGCTTCCTCTTAGCCTCTGCGCAGCCTCCCGCGGCTGGAGAGATTGCGCAAGGCTTTTCTAGAGGAGGGAGAAGGGACTGACTGACCACGTCAGTCCCTTCTCCTCCTGGGAAAAGCCCGCAAGAGCCGCACTGGCTTGTGTGTGGCTCTTGGGGGCTTTTCCTGCCTGCCTCCCCTGCATTCGCTCCATAGGACGCACAGACTTTTCCCCTTAGTTTTTAAGACGGAAAAACTGCGTCCTATGGTGCGAAAAATACGGTAAGTAAGCAGGTATCTCTCTTGTTTCTGGTGCCCAGATAGATTTATTTAAAGCACAGTAGCATTGTTCCATAATGCATTGTTCCATTTATCTCCTCAAGGTATTGGTTTAGCAAAAAATAACCACATTCCTGCTAACACATTCCCCCTACTAACTCCTATCCTAGAAAGAATGACCAATCACTTTTGTAAAATTCTGCCATTCTGGAGCTGTGGTGCTTTTCCTGCAGAGTTGCAGTGAGCTGTTTAAAAGGGATCCTGAAAAACTTTTTGTGGAGGTAATCGGGTTTTCTGGAAGAGTAAAAGTGCCTTACTTCTAAGATTAGGAGCACCTGGAATTTGCAAGCCTGCTTTTCATGACTTTTTGGCTCCTCTGTTTATATCTCTCTCCCCTCCCCCCCCTTTTTAACCAATGTGTATTTATATAGCTGCTAAGCGAGGATCATTCGTGCATTTGATAAAATAAGCTTATATGTGAAAGCTTAGGCACCGCAAAACTCTTTCCTTGTCCCCCACCCCGCCCCTGCCCAGGAGTTAGGTAAAAATATTTGCCACATGCCCAGTAGCCGTCTCTTTATTCAGGGTTGAATCTTGGCACTGTGAAAAGGCAAAATCCTGAGGTCATCTCTTTAAGTGCAGGGTGTCCAGTAGATTTTAGCTACAGGCATGGGTGTGAACATTTAAGAGAGGCATACTGACAATGCATGACTTTGGTGCAATGCTGTCAGCTTTGCAAAATCCCACACAAAGCCCTTATTAGTTCTTCCTGATTAAAAATTACCTTAAAGGCGTGAAGCACGTAACAGGAGACGGGCCCCTTGTGGAGACAACCTTAAAAAACTTCAGAGAGAATGCCAAAATGATAACGCTTGGCACTTATGGATAACACTTGCAAGATATAAAGCGTATTGGAATCATTAACTAATTAATCTTCAAGCATACTAAAAATGGAACATGATTACTCATTATGTAACAGTTACTTTAATAAGTCACATATTGAGTATTAAAGTTGAGTGCCTTAGGCTAGAATGAGAGCAGCACCCTTTCCACATTATATATGTAATATGGCAATCCTCTGCTGGAAGCTAAAAATAGATTCTCTCTCACCTCTCCCCCCCCCCCTTTATGTCAGTTTCCTCAACTGTGCCTTATGTGTTTTAGGCATCCTGAGGAATGGGGCGTTGAGAGGCAGGAATGTCACTTAATGCACATCTAAAGTTCTTTAAGAAAGTGTTGGGGGACCCAACCAGCCAGATGGGTGGGATATAAATAATTAAATTATTACGATGGGATAAAAACCTCAATCTGGATCAAATGTTTTGCAGTGCAACTTCTTTTATTGTACAGTTAAATTTCAGGTAATAAAAACAGCAAATTTAAAAAGTGTTCTCTCTATTGCTAGTGATAACGATTTCCCACTGTAAAATACTTTATCGTCTTTTATCATTGCATAGTGCATGCCATCAGTTGACACACACTGTTGTTTGGACAAAGCTTGCCTCCTTTTGAAAATCAGTCTGTGTTTATTGGTGGTTTTCTTTTTAACAGCTCTATATAGCTCTGCCTAAAAAGCTAACAATATGAAAGTATGACCCAATTACAATTCAGTATCATTGTTGCCCATCATAGCACCAGACCCAGTCAGTTTTGCTAACTACGCAAAAACAATAAAAGTTCAGACTTAAAGTGAAACGTTTGTTGTTGTTGTTGCCTTGTAGGTAATAACTAGCTTTAGCCAAGTACAAATACATTGTAATTTTTCAACCTTTTCATTGCAGTAGAAGAGATGTACCATATTGACCTGAATATAAGCCACACTTTCCCCACAAATGTCAACTGTGAAAAGTGCAGCTTATATCCACGACCTTATGGTATGCACCCAGGACAACTTATATTCAGGTATTTTTCTTTTCTTTTCCCCCCCTCCAATTTTTCAGGTGCGGCTTATATTCGGGCCAATACAGTATGTGAATCTGGTGACCCTTAGGGTAAGGTTACCAGACATCCCCGTTTCCCAGGGACAGTCCCCAGATTTACAAATCAGTCCCCATACAAAATCCATTGAAGTTGAAAAGTGTCCCCGGATTCATTGAAAAAAATCTGGTAACCTTACCTTAGGGGAGAGTTTCAATTTGTTCTCTTGCCTGCAAGATACTTTATTCATGACTGCATCTTTTCTCTGCCCAGATTGTTTGCTGAAGTGCAAATTGGGAGTATTGTTTGTGTGTCTGACAATAGTAATGTGGGCCTCAGTTCTTCCCTAATTTTCATAGTTTTTTTCAATGTTTGTGCTTTAATCCTAAAGTTGGGAGCGTGGAGACTACTGTGCAGATGAACCCTGGCTTCATGTCTATTAATTTATAGCAGTTCCATAGTGCAGTGAATTGAGTACGGTTCCTGATTCAATCTCTTGGCATCTCCAGTTATGAAGGTGTTCAGGTAGCAGAACTGAGAAGGACCTTTGTGGAGGCCCCTGTAGAGCTAGTGTCAACCAGAGCAGATGGAGCTGGCCCAAAGGTACCAAAAGGTTTACTTGGCTTTGATAATCAGAGCTGGATTGAATGTTCGCATTTCTACTGCAAAAAATATCCCTCTGGTACCTGAAATATCTCCTGAAATCCCAGATTGCTTAGCTCTGTTTGCCCTTGTTCTGTTATTTCTTCCCAAATCAGCAGGAGTTTTCTCTCATGGCTTTTTGCATGCAGACAACATTATCCCAGAAACTGGAACACATAATCAGCTTGGTAGCATCATGGTGATTACATATATGTGATATATGTGATTACATGATGCACATATGATATATGTGATTACATGATGCTACCACAAAACCAGTTCCGATTGAGGGCAATGCTTCCTGCCCTCATTCTGAATGGACAAAATATTTTCACCCCTGTTTCCACTTCCTCAAAATTCACTGAAAGGTGAGGTGCTTTTCACAGCTGGCAAGTGTTCACAGATGAAGCGTTCTCCCTGTGCTCTCCCTTAGTAAATAAATGTTATGGTGTATTGGGGAGCAAAACCTGTGTTTACGCACTTAATGATCAGGGCTGGTGCCTGGCTGGCCTGGCAGCCAGGAAGCTGGTGAGTGAGTAGTGCAAAGGTTTCAGCAAGATAAATCTGCTGGCAAGGCTCAGCACAGAGCAATTACTCCAGCAGACAGGTTTCTTAAATGTTGGGAGCAAATCCTGACTCAGCAATTGGGCAAGGCCAGCAGGGCTCCTTTTGATTGCCCAGATCCCCTGATCCAGCTGGGCCATCAAGTTGCAGAATACCTTCCAGCTGCTATGCAGAGTGGTGCTGCAAAGCAGCGAGGATCAGCCAGCAACTCTTTCTGTGGTGGTCCAGGGCTTAAGGTGCCAGGGCAATGCTGTTAGCTGTTTTGCTCTCAGCTGGCTGCTGACTTACAAAAATGAGGCTTAATAGTTTATGTTGCATATTAGTTGATAGTAGTCAATCTGCTTTGGAAGGTGGGTGAACCCCCAGAACAAATTTAGGAGGGAGCAGAGGGGGAGAATGTTCCACAGCACTATGAGATATCATTGAGCTCACGGAACATTCTCCTTAGCACTGCATTGAATACAATGCCTAGGAAGCATCAAATGATGTCGTGTAGAGTTTCAGAATTGGCTGCACAATACAGCTACTACCCAGATTTCTTTCTGCCCTGGAACTGTATGATCAAGATGGTGCTATATATTGGCATCCTGCTGTTCTCATCTAGCAGTGAAGATCACTTGTGTGGTTCCCCTTTGGAAGCCTAATACCAGACCAAAATAAACTGGTCCATTGCTTACTGTTAGCTTTAACAATGCCCATCCACTGCCTAAGAGATAATAAAAGCTTTCAAAGCCTTCAGGACATGTGTGTAGCTCTAGATCATTGTTCCTATGTTTTTTTATATTTTTATATTTGCATTTTGAAAACTGGCACCTGGAGTTTGCTAGTTTCATTGGAGATATTTGTATTCGAGGACGCTTGGTCCTTCCTTAAAAAAAAAGTCTATTCAGTAACGTTAACTTAGTAT